ACATTAATGCTTCCAAAACATCTTCTTTTAGTCGATTCCTAACATCAGAGAGAACCCTAGACCCTGCACTAAAAGCAGATTCCTAAGCTACAGTGCTAACCGGAGGTGTTAGTAGATCTTTTGCCATTGCAGAAACTATTGGCCATCGACGTTCATACTTTCGTCAGAAGTCAACTACTTCTTCTGAATTTTTCGTTAATGCATTGTTACTAGGCCAATTATGATTAAAGTAATCAAGTAATTCAGCAGGCAACGCATTTTGACTAGTACATGCAGTAGAAGACAAACTACTATGACTGAAGGAATCATATGCATTTCCAATTTGACCATATCTATATGAGTTTATACCTTCAAATAAATTTAAAATTTCAGCGTCGTCATCTCCTAAATTAGTGGGAGGAGTACTTGTAGAGCCGAAGGGTACACGAGTAACTTGTGTACCCATTCGTGAAGCATATATTACATACATTTCAGATAAAGTTGCTTCCAAATTCCTATAGATAATAGGTATGTTAAAAGTTAAAGATTCTGACATTCGCTCAATTATAAATTTAGTACCAGATAAATTATATTGGGGGTCCATGATGCATGCTAACGAAAATAACATGGGCAAGTCTTCCCAATATTTTCTAAACTTTAATTCCATGGCATTTATAACTGAACTAAAATCGGGATCATTTTTAAATATATCAAAAGCCCTAGCAACTAGATAAAGACGTTGAAGGACCATACAACTAGTAAGATAATAAACACCAGACAAAATATTTGTAGCATCATAAAAACTTTTCAAAAAATGTTTGATTTTAGTAACTAAAATCCAATCGGACTCAATCAAAACAGTTTCCTCGTCGTCTCTAAAATGCCTACTGTTATAAAATTCAGTAATTAAATGTTCGAAACCTTCACACGATTTTAATAATAAATATGTGGAGTTCCATCTATGCGTTACGTCACTAATAAAATTTTTTGAATGCGACACCCCATGTTCGGCACAAAAGTCCTCAAATGCTTGTTTTCTACTAGGTGAAATAGTAATATAAATTAGTGCATCCCTAATTCGTTGAATTTCATCCTTAACATGTTTTAAACCATTTTGTACTATTAAATTTAAAATATGACATACACATCAAATATGAAATAAAAAATCACCAAATTCAGGTTGAAGTACTCTTTGCAATTTCTCGATAACAGGCTTATTTACATTAGCGTTGTCGAACGTAAAAGAACGAATTTTACTCTCGCATTTATATTCTCTAATAACGTTCATAATAGCACTAAATATATTGGGAGCATTGTGCGGGTACTCAATAATTTTAAAAGCAATTATTTTTTTATGCATTTGCAGTTGCAGCCATATAACCTCTTTTATTAATTCCTTCCCATAAATCCGAAGTTAAAGATATTACACCCCCATATTTTTCTAAATCGGCAATCAATGTTTTCTTTGCATTTAAAAAATATTCTATTGTATCAGAACGAAGAGTATTTCGACTTACCCCAGCGTACCTCGGTTGAAGACATTCTTTGACAAATATAACGAAATGTTGGTTGTCCGTTTGTGCTAGTGGCAACTCAGATCCGGCAATGTACTTCACCATTCCTGTTCGAGTTCTTTCCTCCGAATACATCCATGTATTAAGTGGCGTAGTAGTAGTAGCACCGCTGCCTGAAGTACCAAATTGTAGTTGCGTTTGA